TCCCATTTCCAGCCGCCTCCAGGCTGTTGCTCCACAGCCTGCAAGGAATCCCCCACCAGTGGCTTCTCCACAGCCCTGCTCCCCATCCAGGGTCTGGAGGGATGGGCAGGAGAGCTGCAGGGCTTGTAAATCTGGGAATGTCAAGAGAAGGTAATGGGAGCCTTTGCACTACCCCAGTTTGAGCTCTTGGATCTTATAATCATGGAAAGGTTTGGCTTTGGGAAGGAATATCATCTATTTAATCTGTTTCCACCCTCCCAGCTTTTCAGAGCTGTCTGCAAGGTGGTTTCACCCAGAAGAGCCTGGAAAAGGCCATTTCTGCATCTTCCCATGGGTTCTACCAATTTCTTCTCTGAAAATGAAGCAGGAGCACCTCCAATCCCAAACTTTGCTCATTGCCAGCAGGGAAGAGGGGACAAATCAGCTTTATGGGATGCAGCTCCAGCACAGGGCCTGGGTTTGTCTCTTGTGAAAGCAAATCGAGAGCTGAAGACAAAGAGCCCCCCTTGAACTCAGAGCACGCGAGCAGAGCAGGAGGAGAATTCATGAAAAATGAACGAAGAGCAGGCAGCTGCGACGAGCAGAGGAGATGAAGCTCCCGGAGTTATCTGGGGCATGAAGAAACCCAGCAGGCCAGAAAAATGTGAGCAGAGAGCAGCGGAGGTGAAAAGCGAGGCTTTATGTTTAATTAATCACCCTGTTTGCGTTGGAATGACAGCGTCCTGCTGGGGACAGCGGGGACAGCAAGGACGCGCCAGGCCTGGCTGTGCCACCGGGTCCCCACCAGTGCAACTGGCTCCTGCTGTCCTGTTGGAACCCTAGTTACTGCTGAGTGTTTCAGACTTTCTGTGCTGCCAGGCACTGACCCCCAAGAGAACACTGCATTGACCTGAGGCTGTGGAGAAGCTTCCAAAATGGAATGACAGAACTGGTATTGTTGGTGTGGAGTTTTAACAGAAGTGTGTGACATCACAGGGTGGAAAACTCAGAGTTCAAGGTTTTAGAATATAGCAATATATATAAAACAAGATGGAAGTTTTAGGGTGGAGGCTGTTCCTTCTTCTTCACCTTCTTCTCCATGGGTTTGGGTGGTTTTGTGCAATTGGATAAAAAAGTCCACATTGCTGCTACAGGTGTTTTGTTATTGGGTTAAAAGTGAAAATAATTTAGGTGTAATTTCTTAATTAGACAGTTTATCCTTAAAAGGCCTGATAGAGAGAGAGACATGGCTCCATTTTTAGTTTGTTAAAGTGATGTAGAACTCAAGGTTTGTGAAACTATAATGTAGATAAAAACTAATAGACATCTGAGTCCCAACAAAAAATACCATCTCATGCATTTAATCCCAACCCTAGCAAAAGAAACCCCAAAAACTCCACAATGCCCCATGCAGTTTTCCCTTTTCCCTGATTTTTTGGGATGATCTAGATCAGTGGAGCCTGTGCTGCACCAAACCCTTAACGCTGAACATCCACACAAGAGCCTGTGGGAGGAGGCAGTGCCAGGGCTGGGAGGACTGGGATGTCCGGGATTTTCCTGCCTTTGGCACTGGGAGGTGAATTTTAAGAAGGGATAAAGAAAAATAGAAAAATCTCCCCTGGAGCTGCAGTTCCATGCTTGTTGGGTGGAGGTGAGTTCAGATGGAGGAACCGTTTCTCTCTGGAAAGACCGACACTTTTAAACCAAGAAGTAGGAAATGAAGGTGATCAAACCCTGGTTCTGACTCTTTCTAGCCAATAAATAGTAAATGGAGGTGATTTAATCCCTATTTCACTCTATTTATCAGAGAAATAGGAAATGGAGGTGATTTAACCCTGATTTTGACTGCTTTTAACAAAACAAGGAGGAAATGAAAAGTGATTTAACCCTTATTTTGACTCTTTAACCAAACAAAGAGGAAATAAAGGGAGATTTAGCCCTGCTTTTGACTCTTTAACCAAACAAAGAGGAAACGGGGTGTGTTTTCACTTTGGTTTGCTTTTCTCCCTCTGCAGCTCTGATGCTCCTCCTGCACCTGGGGATTTCCTGCCCGGCCTCAGCTCAGGGCTTCGCTCAGGTCCCTCAGGCTTCCTGTTTTGCTCTCAGAGCTTTCATTTCACCCACAAATCATTTCCTGTTCTGAGGCTCCCTGTGGCTGATCCCCTCCATTTCTGCTCCTCTGGTAAATCTTTGCCCTCCCTTCCCTTTCCCAGCAGCCGGGTGGGTGATGAGGGAAGTTCAGGAGCTTTTCCTGACATCTTTAAGTCTCTCAGGTTGTCTCTGGATGCTGGGGGGGTGGCGGGGCTGTGATCCTGCTCTGCTGCCGACAGCTTTTCAATCCCAGCCACGGGAAGTGTCGAGCCTCCCAAATTAACTCATCCAGCAGCATGGAGCCCTCTATTACTCTGCCTTTCCATCATTTTCCTCAGTTCAAGTGCTGCTCCAAATGAATTAGTGTTGGGAAATGGGTGTAGGGAGGGAAATGCCATTGGAGAGGCTGAAAACCTGACAGGAATGGAGGAACCAGGGTAACCCAGAAAGGTTCAAAGGGATGTGGTGCTGACAGAATCATTTTAGCAGCAAATTGCATTTTATTTTTTTTTGGGGGGGGCCACAGACATGGTAGGAATTTTAAATAATTGGAGATGTGATTCCAAGCTTGCTAAATGTGTGGCTGACCTGAGGGAGTAACTGGGAGGGAGTTGTTGAGGGGTTCATTGCTTTGGGTTCACTGCAGAGCCACAAATTCAACAACAAATTCCTCCTCCCAAAGATTCCCAGTGCCTGTTGTAATTATTGTTATTATTATTGTTATTGTTATTATTATTATTATTATTATTATTATTATTATTATTATCCTGCAGCCTGTATTTTTATTTACCCCTGGTTCTCAAACTTTTACAAAACTCCATGTTTCAGTGGTAGCCCCTTGGTTTTCCCCCTCCCCACACAGCTCAGAGGTTGTGAAAGGATGGCTCGTGGTCTCCAAGAGTTTATCCAGGCCTTGGATTGCCGGGAATCCTGATATTGCTGGGTCTGCTGAGAATGGAGGAGCACCCCAATAACATCTCCCATGGTAGGGGTTGGCAGGAGAGGAGCTTTAGGGTGTCTTCCAACCCGGCTTCCTGAGACTTGGGAGTGCCAGAATTCCAGAGTGGTTTGGGTTGGAAGGGACCTTAAAGCCCATCCCATCCCCCCCTGTCTTGGGCAGGGAACCTTCCAGAGCCCAGGCTGCTCCAGCGCTTCCAGGGATGGGGCAGCCAGAGCTTGTATGGATCATCTCTCCATCCTGGTTGTGTTCTGCAGGGAGATGCCCCCATGTTCCAGATGTTAAGGGGATGCTGAGGGGTTTCCTTCCCTCCTGGATCATCCATCTCTGATTTAGGAAAGTCAGGCTGGCCAGACACCTGACCTGGCCAAACACCCGAGCGTGGCTAAGTGGTCACAGTGGTGCTCACTCAAAGCTGGACTTGATTTTGGGGTTCTTTTCCAAGCCTATTCCATGATTCCCTGGTGATGCACGGACACAGCTTCCGTGGAAGGCCCAGGATCTCTGGAGCAGTTTGCAGCAGCCCGGGGATTCTGCAGAGCTCTGCTCTTGTCCAGCCACAGCCAGGCCCATCTGGCCATGGGGACAAAGCTCCTTGACAGACAACTCCACAAGGGATTTAAAGATTGGATTTACTGAAAGAGGGATTATGGAGGGCTAGACTCAGCAGGAATTTGTGCCTTTAGGGTGACTTTAAGGTTTTGGGGAAATGCAGCTTGCATCAGGTTCTCCCTTTCTGCTGCTGGGGCTGGCAGAGCATCGTTAAAGTTGGGATAATGAGGGTTTTTATTAATGGGAATGTTCCAGAGGCTTTGGCAACACGCCTGGGATTTCACAAACGTGAAAATAAATGGGAAAAAGAGCAGCTTCCCAGTTTTACACCCAGAACAAATGAAGTACAGCATGGCTGGCAGGAAAAATCCCAATGCAGATACCAGATCTGCTGTGACCATTCATTATCTCACATTTCCCACACACAAGGAGATCAGGAGCTCCCACCACACCTGAGAATTCCTTTAGCAGGTGAGCTTGGCTCCTGCAGCTGCTTTGGCTCCTGGGGAATTCAGAGTAGGGGATATCTCCAGGATTTTCAATCTTTCCCCCCTCATTTGACATCCCACGGGATAAACTGGTAATACTGATCTTAAATATTGGTGTATTTTTGCCCACCTCCTGCTGGGAGGCAAAGAGAGAACCTGGCTCTCCTTCCTGTAGTTCCCAGCCTGCATTCCTGCCCCCATCGTTCCTGTTGTGATGTGATGTCCTTTAGCTCGGGCAGCTCTTTGCCTTCCCAGATGTATTTTTAGATTGCAGCCTCCTCTCCTTTCACCTTCCTGCTGGCAGGATGAGCAGAATGACCTCTCCACATCCTCTGCTGGTGCCAGAACACAGGCATGGTTTCCCACTGACAGAGGACAGGGATGGATGGGATATTGGGAGGGAATTGTTCCTTGGGAGGGTGGGCAGGCCCTGGCACAAGTGCCCAGAGCAGCTGGGGATGCCCCTGGATCCCTGGAAGTGTCCAAGGCCAGGTTGGACAGGGCTTGGAGCACCCTGGACAGTGGAAAGGGTTGGAACAAAATGGGCTTTAAGGTCCTTTCTCTCCCAAACCATTCCTTGATTCCCTGATTGTCTCTTTCCCTCACCAGGCCTGGAGCCTCTGCCTTGTCCCTTCCTGGCTCCTTGCATGCAGCCAGCCAGAATTGTCCCTCTCATCCCTCAAACGGAACCCCCTCAGCAGCTGGAATTCAAACCAGGGCTTCCTTGGCACCAGCAAATGCTGACACAGCAAATCCAGCCCTGCTAAAGCTCCAGCAGCCTTGACCAAAACATCATGAATATTCACGAGGTGATTAATTAATGTCTCCCTGCTTTAATAGCTCCTCACAAAATTCTGTGCCATCCCAGGGGCTGGCACCCTGGTGGAAGTGTCACTTTAAGGTATTTTGGAACAACCTGGTCAGGAGTGAACATGTCTGAGGACTGCAGTGACCCCAATCAGCTCCCCACGGCTGTGATGGTGATTAGTACCCATAATTAGAAATTCTCCAGGAGGGTCAGGCTGTGCTGCAGAGCTGGAATGGTGCAGGAAGGAATTTCCAACTGTGGGATATTCCAAGTTCAGCAGCCTCCATTGTTCTTTGCACTTACACGAAGCTTAGTGGACTCCTGTGGCTGGAGATGCCCTCCAGGAGAAAACATCCCTTGGGAAGAGGGAGATGGAAACATTTGTGTGGATGGAAGCAACATGGGAAATGCCAGGAGTGTTTCCTCCCTGTCCATTTTCCTTCCCCTGCCAGGACACAGGATGCTGGGTAACCCAGATTATCCACACTGCCTCCAGAGGGATTTTGGGGCTGAGCTTGTGGAAACCTTTCTGGGGTTTCTCTGGGCATTCCCAGTCTGGAGTGAAGAGAGCTTTGAGATTTCAGCAGGATGGGGATTGCAGAGGGATATCTGCAGTGGGGGTGGGGTGGGTGCTGGATTTATCCCAGATTCTTACCTCCAGTTGCTCACCCTTTCCCACTCAGCACTTCCAGCTCATTCCCACAGGATGCTGGAAGTGCCAACGCTCTGAATAATCCCAAAAACCATTAGAGGAGAGCAGGGACAGCAGCTCCTTCAAGGGTTGTTAAACACAGTGTTGTGCATCCAGCCTCCAGCTCGGGGAGCTGCTGGATCATGGGATCCTGGAAGCTGCCAGGGAATCCTGAAGGCACCAGAACTCCGAGCTTGCTTTTGATCCCAAGCATCTGCCACTGGCCGCTGTCAAAACTCATCACTCATCCCCCAAAACTGCAGGAAAAGGTGAAGGGGTTCTGTAATGTGGAATTAAATGATCAGTTGTGGAGCAGGACTGGTTGAACCTCGTTAGTTGATGTGCTAATTTCCTGTGGATGTCTAGGCCAGCCTGGACTGTGAACTTCACTTGGAGAAGTTTTGCAAGTGGATCTTTGCTTGGAGGAGAAGAAAATCTTTCTCAGTGCTTGTGGAGGCTGAACCAGTGCTGTCCCCTTTGTGAACATCCCCTTGGGTGCAGTGGAAGGTAATTAATTATTAATTAATTAATAGCCTTGTCACACTGTGAACTCTCTGACCTTTTTGCAGTGTCCCTGTCAGTGAAAGGTGAATAAATTCAGGCAGTGAATGAGGGTGGTGGGACAGGGTGAGGTGGTGTCTGAAGAGGGGAGCAGCAGGAGCTGGGTTTGGGTGTCTGGTGGCACAGCCGTCATTGATCCACTGCCCATGGACACACAGAGCCAGGCTGGGAATAAAAAACAATTTATCTCATTTCCAGGAGTCTCTGGTCTGGGGAGATGAGGGTTGGTAACACCAGGGCAGGAGCCTGGTGACATCCCCTCAAAAGGAATAAATACATTTGTGAATATAAAATGCATTTTATATGTGTATTATCTGTATGTATATTTAGCTCTACAACAGACGACTTTCAGTCCATTTCATAGAAAAACACGGGTTTGGGTTGTAAGGGACCTTAAGGACCATGGACAGGGACACCTCCCACTGTCCCAGGCTGCTTCAAGCCCCCAATATCCAACCTGGCCTTGGACACTTCCAGGGATCCAGGAGCAGCCGCAGTTTCTGTGGGAATGGATGCCAGGTCATCCCTGCCCTCATTATCAAACCCTTCTTTCCTAGTGTCTAATTTAAATTAGAGGCATTTCTAATTTAAATGGAGGAGTTTCTTCACCTCTGGAATTTGTCCCAGCTTTGTGTGACACATCAGCACACAGTCCTAGAGACACGAGCAAGGAAAATCCCAACCCAACCCCAGTGTCTGTTTTGTCCCTCCTGCAAAGCTGACCCTTTATCCCACCCCCATCTTTCTTTGCCCCATTCTGTGATCTCATTCCACCTGTTGGGCTCCCCCCTCGGCCTCAGCGATCCCTGGTTTGGGCAGGGCTGCTGAAATGACTTCACCAAAGGGCTCTGGCCATCCCCACCCCCACAGGGATGTATTGAAGTGGGGTGCCCCCAACCAGGGAATGATGTGCTCTGACTCCATGATTCCAGAAGGCTGAACAAATGCTTTGTTAAGCTATACTGTATTACACTAATACTGTACTAAATTACATGCTAAAGAGATCCTATACCATACTAAAGAGATACTCTACTTATAAGATACTAGAGAAAAACCTGTGACTGTCAGAGACAGTCAGGACACAGCTTTGACTCAACTGGCCAAGGAATCAAAACAACTTTCACTGGTGTCCAATTAACCACTTTGGGCAAACAATCTCCGTAACACATTCCACATGTGCCAAACAACAGGAGCAGCAAGTAGAGATAAGAAATGTTTTCTCTTCTCTCTGTGCTTCTCACTGCCTTCCCCAGGAAAAGTCCTGGGAGCGAGTTGTGCCTGCTGCTCTCTGTGAGGAGAACTGCGGCCCCAGGGATGCAGCGGTGCCGGCAGGATGGGCAGGAGCGGGCGGAGGCCGAGCTGCAGGAGGGGCTGAGCCTGTCCCAGGGACTGAGCCCATCCCAAGAGCTGAGTGCATCCCAGGGGCTGAGCCCGTCGCAGGGACTGAGTGCATCCCAGGAGCTGAGTGCATCCCAGGGGCTGAGCCTGCCCCAGGGACTGAGCCCATCCCAAGAGCTGAGTGCATCCCAGGGGCTGAGCCCGTCGCAGGGACTGAGCCCATCCCAGGAGCTGAGCCCATCCCAGGAGCTGAGCCCGTCGCAGGAGCTGAGCCCAGAGGAGGCTGTGGCCATGCTGGCGCTGATGGAGGAGCACGAGGAGCCCCTGCTGAACCACTCCATGGCCTTCATGGAGCACCTGGTCCAGGAGCTGCAGGGGCTGGAGGAGGTATGGAGCCACGGAGGTGCCCAGAAGGAGGGGTTGTGTCTCTGGGCATCAGCAGCTCTGCCCTTTGCTCTGGGAGAAATTCTGGGAGGAAAGGGAAGGGGAAGGGAAGGGGAAGGGAAGATCAGGGAAGGGAAGTTCAGGGAAGGGTCTGGGTGTGGGGTGCTCTGGGGCTGGCTGAGGAAGGACAAGGGACAAAAGGGGCCCCTACAGAAGGAAAAGCAGGATCCAGGGAGAGTGAAATGAAACAGAGCTGGAAGGAGATTGAAAAGGAAATATAAAACAGTAGGAAGGGCCAGTGGAAAAGGAACAGGATATTTCCAGAATTCCTGGTGAGGGTGGAATTCCCTGGAAATGTCCAAGGCCAGGTTGGATGGGGCTTCAGTACTTAAACTACAACTTGGATAATAACTAGGGCTAATGCAAGATCAAAAAGATAAAATTATTAAGTTGATGAATTTCAGCAACAAGGGATAGGAGAAGAAAGGAAATGTTAAGTGAAATCAAACGAGACAAATCAATAGAGGTAAATGGAAAGTGTTCAAAGAGAAATTAATGTATGCTTGAGGGCTATAACAGGCAATTGCTGCAGTGGAGGAATGAGCAGCTTTTTTTCCTTGCTAGATTATGACAATAAGACATTGCAGATATCTTAGGAAAAAAAAAATAAAAAAATCAAAGGTTATGAATGAAAGTATAATCTTTAAAAGGTGTTGGAGCAAAATGGGCTTTAAGGTCCCTTCCTTCCCAAGACATTAGAGGATTCTGTGGTTTTCCATAGATTTGGAAGGGAAAGGGAGGAAATTAAGCCAAGGAGCTCAAGGGTCCTCTGGAAGAGGATCCTTCAGTATCCCTGGCCCCCATCCCTGGGTGGATGGAACTGGATGGGCTTTAAGGTCTTTTCCAACCCCAACCATTCCATGACTTTTGACTATTGGTCTTTACTGACTCCATTTGTGTTGCTGTGATTTATTGCATTTCTGCAGAGGAAATTTGTCCTTTAAGTGCTGGAACAAAAAACCTAGGAAATCTGCTTTGAGCACTTACCTTCTGCTAAAATATCTGGGATTTTATTGTTGGTAGCCAAGGAAAAAGGGGGAAAAATAAGCCAAAGGAAATACCTTAAACCATACAAGAAGCCACAAACCCTAAGTAGAGCCTCCTTTAGCTGCAGAGTTTGCTGTATTCTCATATATGATTTATTACACTTGGAAGTTAATCTGGAAGCCCAAACTCCTGAGGTTTGTTCCTGCCAGCTCCTGGCAAGGAATTCAGGCACTTTGTGACTGTTCCCAGCTGTAAAACACCCTGGGAGAGCAACAAATACATCTTTATTAAGTTTTTTGAGATGAAAGGCGCCGTTGAATACATTATTTTAATGCCCTCTAATGAATAAGTGTGACTTCCCTCTAATACAAATTAATTAATGAGCATTTCCATTTCCGAGCTCTAATCTCCAATATTAAATGTTATTAATCCCAGCAAGTTAGACCAGCACATGCATCCATTTCAATGTTTTCCCCCCATCCCAGAGATAGCACCTTGGCTTTCTCTCCCATATTAATCCCCCGCCTCTAACCCAGCTGTTCTGGGAATCACAGAAATCCCTGCACTGGCAGCAAGGAAAAGTTGATTTCTCCAAAGGGAAGGACGGCACGGCCAGGACACTGGGAGGCCAAAGACTCTGATTTGGACATTGATATTCCTCCAGAATTCCAGGATCCAAGCACATGTGGAACTGCAGGCAGCTCCCAGCAGCTCTGTGCTGTACCTGGATTTCATTCCTGTTCCTGAGCCTCTGGAGGGCCCCTTCCCACAGCACTGTCCCATCAATGTCACCGGGAATGCTCCCTCTGGTGACAGCCTGAAGAAGTGGTAGGGGCTGGCATGGGGGAGGCTTCTGGCCCTAATTAAAGAAAAATTAATAAAAGGGAAGATCTGGGCAGAGCTGACGGGACAGGATGGGGTCCCTGGGTGCGGCAGGGAAGCAGAATTTGGACCATGGCCAGTGCTTTTGGAGATGAGTGTCCATGGTTAGAGAGGCTGGGAGAGCTGAGGGTGTCCACCTGGGGAGGGGACCTCAGAGCCCCTGCCATGGCCTGAAGCACCTCCAGGAGAGCTGGAGAGGGACTGGGGACAAGGCATGGAGGGACAGGACACAGGGAATGGCTCCCACTGCCAGAGGGATGGATGAGATATTGGGAATTAGGAATTGTTCCCTGGAGGAGTGGGCAGACCTGGCACAGGGTGCCCAGAGCAGCTGTGGCTGCCCCTGGATCCCTGGCAGTGCCCAAGGCCAGGCTGGACACTGGGGCTGGGAGCAGCCTGGGACAAGGGAAGGTGTCCCTGCCCATGGGATGGAATGGGAAGAGCTTTAAGGTCCCTTCCCAACCCAAACCACTGGGATTCTCTGAAATCTTGTGGGATGGACACTCAGGTCATCCGGAGACTCCACCATTTGTGGAGGTGAGGGTTGGACACTCCCTGCAGTGACACATTCCCAGGGAACAGAACCAGCAGGCCTTGGTGGCCTCTCTGGACCGATGGAGACTCTTCTGCTCATGGCCAGATTTTCCTGGACACTCCCCAGGAATTTGCTTGCTGGGGCAGTTAGAAGTGTCCTGAGGGGACACCTTGCCCAGGACAGGGTTTTATGTGCCCTGGCTCTGGGGACATGCAGGTGGCACTTGGCCAAGGTGGGACAGTGGCATTTCCACCAACATCCTGCAGGTTACAGTGACACGGTCTCTGCTGTGCCTCAGGAGGGTGAGAGACAGGACATTTGACCCCAGGATGCTGACACATCCCCTGCCAAGCTCTGAATCCCTCTGCTCCTGCCTCCCACAGGCCAACCTCCAGGCCATCATCTCCTCGGAGCAGCAGGTGGCCCAGCTGATGAGCTGCCTTGACGCGGCGCTGGCCGAGGTGGCCAGGCTGGAGGAGACCCTGCAGCTCTGCGAGGAGCTGCTGGGGGGTGTGAGGCAGCAGATGGATCGCATCCACCGGGAGAACTCCCTGCTGCACCGCCTCGCTTCCAACAGGACCAGGCTGATGGATGAGCTCCTGTTCCTCACGGTGCGTGCCTTTGCAAGGGCATTAATCTTCAGCAGCTGAATCTGCTGGGAAAAGCTTCCAGGGAATTTTAAACACTGGAAGCTCGGATTGTCTGCAAGGGCTATGGAGCTCCTCTGGCTGGGAAATGGGGGATGGTGTAAGGTGAGGACGGACAGAGAAGAACTGGGATGTGCAGGACCCTCACCATGGCCCAATGGGGACTCTGAAAGGCCTTTTCCAGGGCAGGATTAGGAATGGCAAAGCTGATTAAATAATCATGAACTGGGAATACAAACCCAGCAATTAATGAACTTAATTAATTAATTAGAGGCAAAGCTTGCAACACCAGGCCTTCCTTCTCCACCACTGCAGCTGTTCCTGAGCAGAACATTGGTTTTCATGGGGACTTCCTGATGGACACAGCAGCTACCACTGCAGCTGTTCCTGAGCAGAACATTGGTTTTCATGGGGACTTCTGTGGATTTCCTGACGGACACAGCAGCAGCTGCTGGGGGCAGCACTTGGCTGTTCCAGCCAGCAGCACTCCCAGTGGGATGGGAAGGAGTGGGAAGGGAGGGGAAGGAGTGGGAAGGGAGGGATGAGGGGCTGGCAGTGTTTGAAGCTGCCCTCCCTGGCTGTGTTGCAGAGCCAGCTGCAGCTGAGCAGGGAGCACCGCGCCGCCCTGAGCCGGGCGGATCTGTCCAGCCCCGCAGCCATCACAGCCTGCACGGCTGCAGCACAGGCTCTGTCCTCCTGCATGGACCTTCCCATCCACCCCAGTGAGTAGGAGCAGGGGTTCCTCCCACGGGATCGCCCTGCCAGGGGTGGACACCTCTTGGAGCTCAGAAAGGAGCTGGGGAAGCTGTGGCCGGAAATCCTGGTCAGTGCTGTCTGTGCTCCAGCGTGGAAAAACAGCAGTTCGTTGTGGCAGGATGTGGGAGTTTTTGGATCCCTGGAAGTGTGCAGGGACTTGATCCTGGCAGGAAATTCCAAGTTTTCCTTGTGGCGAGACTGGGCGGGTCTCCTTGGCTAAGGTTGGACTCATGGATTATTTTTATTTTTTAAATTTTATTTTCCACTCCTTGTCTGTATTTCCTTGGTGCCACAGGAAAGCTTTTGCCCTTTCATCAGCTTTTGGGTGGATTTATCCCTGGACTTCTGTCTGAGTTCCCAGTTTTCTGAGGGATGTGGGTCTGCAACTCCCCCAGATCCCCTCAAATCCCAAAATATCCTTTTTTCCCCCGAGGTTACCGGAAGCTGCAGGCAGTGGCAGAGCAGCTGATCCTGTTTGAAACTCTCAAGCAGAACTTTGAGAGCTCCTTCATCAACCACATCACAAACATCTTCGAGCTGCAGGTGGGCTCCACTCTTCATGGCAGCCTGAAATTCTGGGAAATTGGAATATCCTGGGGAGGTCGGGCCAGTGGTGCAGGACATGCTGCTGTGACAGGATTTTCCTAAATTGTCTCTCCAAAGAGATCTTCCCACATACCTTCCCCTTGCCATTGTCTCTCAGTCCTCAGCTTAATTTTCCAGGGATGCAGGAGAAATCCATGCTTCCAAAATCCCTCTGGTGACATTCCTTAAGCCCTTAGGCCTGGAGATTTTTTGTTTAGGTTTTCTTATTTTATTTTGGGGGTTGTTGATCTGTTTGTAACCTAAAATCCCAGGATAAACCCCAATCCTGTGATCCTGTGATTAACACCTTCAAGTACTGATCTGGCAGTTTAACAGATTTTATGGCCAAGACCCCTGTGGGCAGCAATCCCAGAGATTTCCTTCCATGGAAAGGAGCAATTCCCAAATCCTTACCTCCTTACATCCTTAGTGTTCCGTTTCAAGCAGCATGTCTGAGGAGGGAGCTGGGAAGGAGCTGTGTGATTTCCATCCTTGGAGATTCGCAGGCCTTGGCTGGGCACATCCCTGAGCAAACTTTTCCATCTGGATCTGCTCCAAACCTGCCCCACTCCAACCCCAGCTGCACAGCCCTGTGGGTGCAGTGTCCCGGCACATTTTCAAGGCTGTTTGATGTGAATTTATGGTGTAATTTCTCTCCCTTTAGGGCAGTTCCCAGGCCCCTGCTCATGGTGCCCCCACTGGCAGCATGGCTGCCCCAAGGCACAGGCCCCAGCACGAGGAGCTGCTGCCCTACAGTCCCCTCATGGCCTGGCTGAGGAGCACCAACCCTGCTCTCTTCTGGGATCTCCCCAAGGTACAGCTGGAACCCTCAGCAAGCGCTGCAAACCTCCCCTGGGCACAGGCAGGTCCAGCTGGGGAATTCCTGCTGGGACCTGGCTCTCACCGTGAGACACCTGAGCTTCCAGGCTTTGGTCCTTTGGGAATGTCTGGCCAACCTGGAGCTCTGTGCCCGACTGGGGAGGTTGTGCTGAAGTGAAAGGTCTGAACTGCCCAAATCTCAGCTTTTTGATCTTATCTGGCCTTTTCTGCCCATTCCAGGTGTATTCCCAGAACCTCGGCAGACTCTACGAGCGGGAAATCAGAGCCCTTTTTGAACAGGCCAAGATCTCCCTGTCAGGAAGAAGAAAAGGAAGTGAGTGGTTCAAAATCTGCCCTCTGTGCTGCTGGGCAGGGTTTGTTGGCACCCGGGGATGGTGACAGTCACCTCCAGCACAGGTGGCTCCCCCAGGCCTGCTCCAGGACTTTATTTCCTGGGTTTGCAGGTGGCAGGGTGGGAAGAGCCAGCTCTGCTCCACACCAGGCAGTGTTTGTGAGAGCCTCGGCTCCATGAATTCCCCACTTTTGTTCAGCTGCTTCTCAGAGCCGGCTGGGACACCAGCGTGTTCCCTTCCCTGTGCAGGGCTCAGGAATGACACACTGGTGGGATCGTGTTCCAAGCAGCCACAGGAGAGAGAGAGGGATGTAGAAAAGCCTGGAAAACAAAACCTGTTGTCAGCTCCCTTCTCCCTGGCTCTCAAAAATTCCCACTCCACCATTATCTCCTGAAAAAAACCTCACCAGGTTTTCTCTTCCCTTGCCTTCACCTGCTCCAAGGGCTGGAGCTCCTCTCCCATGAGGACACACTGAGGTATCTGGGGCTGTTCAGCCTGGAGAAGGCTCCAGGAAGACCCTGTAATTCCCCATCCCTGGAAGTGTTCCAGACCTTGTCAGACAGACTTGGAGCAACCTGGGAGAGTGAGTGGAAGGTGTCCCTGCCCATGGCAGGGGTGCAATGAGGTGATTTTTTTGGTCACCCCCAAGCCAAAGCATTCCGTGATTTTATGATTGTCTAAAGCCTGGTTCGTATTTCGTGCAAGATTCCTCAGACACTTTCCCCTGCAGGGGGAAGCCTGTCCCAGAAGACAGAGGGAATTCACAGCAATATTTATGGAATGATCTCACAGTGAGCTGACTGCCAGGCTGTGTTGTCCCAAGGTGCTCATTTCCACCAAAATCGCTGGGTCTGACTCAAAATATTCCAGTCAGGTGTTTCTGAAGATAAAAAGAGAAACTGATCTGTCTCCTCTGGAAATTTTTTATGGCCCACAAGTCACATTTTCCCTCAGTAAAACAAAGAGCTGTAATGGAAATTTCCAGGCCAGTTTGGCCCAGTTTGAAGGTCAGGCTGGTGTGTTTTGTCCATCAGAGTCAGCACTTCCAGCTCTGCACTTCCTTCATCACCGATGTCCAGATCCCAAGCCAGGGGATGAAGCTGAAGGAAGGGAATGAAGGCGGTTTATGGCTCCCACTTTTGGGGTTCCTCACACCCAAAACGTCCCCACCACCCCCTCCAGCTCCTCCTCCCATTGTCACTCCCCTGGGAAAGTCACTCAGCAGCTGGGAAAACAGGGAACCTCAAACCCCTGGGATCAAAGCAGGATGGGGAGTGCTGATACCTGCACAGCAGTCAGTGAAAAAAGAGGAAAGTTTCACCTAAATAGTCCAAATGGCACCTAAATGGGCACCACTGGACCATTTATGGGACTAAAGTTGTTAAATTAAACAAAAGGTGGTGCTGGGCACGTGTGACAGCCAGTCTGCCCCATCCCCTTCCATAAACATTAAACTGGGATTTCCTTCAGTATTTTATCCATCTTTAAATCCTATACAAGTCTGTAAACCAGGAGGGATTAAACCCCAGGAGAAAACCCTTGGAAGGCTACAAGGTGTTCCTGCTCTGGTAGAAATCAGCCCAAAGTGTCTGCCCAGCGCTGGGGCTCTCCATGGGCAGGACAGGGTGAATTTTGTTGTCCTGAGATGCCTCTGCTCCGCTCCAGAGGGTGAGGACAGGTCTGGGACAGGCAGGAAGCCCCAGGCTGGGCTGGGGTTGTTCAGCCCATCCTTGATGTGAGCAGAGCATTGGAACAACCTCGCAGTTCGTGAGAAAAGGAGGAATTTTTAGCAAGTTGTGCCCACAGAGGTCGTGGCACCTTCCCCGGGGCTGGCGGTGTCCCATCGAGCTCTCTGTGCCATCTCTGCAGCGCTGGGGGCAGAGCAGGGGGACAGAGTCCCCCTCCCTCTGCAGGGCAAGGTGACCCTTCCCAGCTCCAGGAGAGCCCAAACTCCCAGTGCGGCTCTCCAGGGTGCTGCAGACGCGTCCGGCTGCCGGAGCTGTCCCCAGGGCTGTCCCCGCTCCCGGAGGTCCTGCTGCAATATTCCCGCAGAGCTGGCTGCCCTCGGGACGGTTTGAGGGCACGTTTGGCTTTGCTGGATTTCTGCAGGAACCTCATCCAAGGTCCTTCCTGCAGAAGGATGGAGCCCAGGCTGTGAGGAAACCTGCCCGAAAACATCCCTTATCCCTGCTGGAAAACATCCCTCCTCCCTGCCCCAAAACATCCCTCATCCCTGCCCGAAAACATCCTTTATCCCTGCCCCAAAACATCCCTCATCCCTGCTGGAAAACATCCCTCATCCCTGCTCCAAAACTTCCTTCATCCCTGCCCCAAAACTTCCCTCATCCCTGCCCCAAAACTTCCCTCATCCCTGCCCCAAAACATCCCTCATCCCTGCAGTCAAACTTTCCTCATCCCTGCTGGAAAATATCCCAGTCCAGGTCTCCGGGCCACTTCCTTTCTCCTGATTATCCCAGTAAATATTTTGGGTTGATTCCCCACCCTCATAAAGTATTTTATTTATGGCACCACCTGCTGATTTATTGCCTTATGTGATGGGAAAGTTTAGAAGGCAACCTCGAGCTGTTTATAATTAATTAGGGCCCAGTAATTAAGTCCTTTCTCATTTTGCCATTCTGTTTTCTGCAGGTTTGTTAAATTCTTTCCCATTTGCTGTTGGAAGATTTATTTTTTTTCCTGGTTTTGCCACTTCCCAGCTGGTGAAATTATAATGTAATGGTGAGAAAAAGGCTAGGAAGCAGCTTCTCAATTTAGTCCTGGTTTTAGCAAGGCTGAGGTCATGAGCAGGGCTGGCTCATCCCTCATCCCTGCTCAGTCTGGGGCTCAAAAATCCTTCCCAAAGGGAAAACCCTTCAGGAGTGGCTCAAATAGGGATATTTGAGATACTGTGATCGATGGAGGTGACCTGACTCCTCCAGAACTTTTGGAATAGGGGAATGATTCCCATTTCTGGAAATAATTAGGAAATAATCTGGATGTTTCCCCACTGATTCCTTTCAGGGAGTAGAAAAATGTTTTTAAACACCTTTCAATGGATTTTTTCAACTTTTCCACTCAGGCCAAGCCCCCAGTGCTAAAACTGCCAATGTTGCAGTAATATATTTATTTCCAGTGAAAGATTTTAATTTTAAAAAGGCATTTTTTGAGAAAAAGCCATTCCCACCTCCCCTGGATATTTTTTAATGGCAATTTACAATCAAAATTAAGCATCAAACAATTTTCCTGAGGCTTTTGCAGGTTTTTGTACTGATCTGTTCTCTTATCCCCTGGGATTTTCCACAACCCAGCTGTCAGGAGTAAGCACAAGGCAGCAAAGGGATAAACACCACAATCAGTGAAATCAAAAGGCAGTTTAATGAAGCAAAAATAATGAAAAAGAGGGAGAAACAGGTGAGAAGACAGAGAAAAACTGGGAATTTCATCCGAATTCCCCATTTATCTGAATGCAACAGGAAAAGATTAATTCATGCATGAGGTCAGATGTAAAAAGACCCATTTAAGACTTGAACTATCCAGGACTCCAGGAGCTGGAGAATCCCAGGGGGATGAGAGTTCTGACATCCCACACCCCGTGCAGGTCTGCAGGACCCTTGGGAGAGGCCGATGGGGACCAGGCAGCCCCGGTGGAGCCTCCCCAGGAGCAGGGAAAGCCAGGAGGGCACCCCAGCCAGGGGGAACATCTGCAGGGTAAGGAGCTGAGGGCTCCTCAGGAGTTCCATGTCCCACCCACCCCATGACCCCTCCCCGGGGCAGAGCCTGAGGCACTCCCTGTGCTGCCCGATGTCCCCTTGGGTGGACACAGACTGCTCCGGTGTCCCCAGTGAATCCCAGAGGGTTTCCAGACCAAAGGTTGTTTCTCAGCAGGTGTTGCAGCAGGTGCTGAGCGAGCTGCAGCCCCTTTGCACCTCGGAGCAGCAATTCCTGCAGGAATTCTTCTGCCTCGGCTGCGACTCCGTGGAGCTGCAGGCGCTGGGGGTGAGGGTGAGCACCATGTCCTCTCCAGGCCCATTATCCAGCCTGGCACATCCATGGGGACCTGGGCTCTCCTGGGCTGTCATCCTCCAGGAACCAGCAGTGGGAAAGCTTAAGAGGAAAATGAAATGGAATTTAATTGACAGCTCCAGGGAAATCAGGGGTCTCCAAGCATTAAACAAGCTGCAGCAGAAATAAATCCAGGGCTCATTTTCCTGGCTGAGCGAGAGCAGACAAATCATCATTTGGTGGTTCTAGGTTGGATATTGGGAAGGAATTCCTCCCTGTGAGGGCAGGGAGGTGCTGGGATAGAATTCCCAGAGCAGCTGTGGCTGCCCCTGGATCCCTGGCAGTGCTCAAGGCCAGGCTGGACATTGGGGCTTGGAGCAGTCTGGGACAGTGGGAGGTGTCCCTGCCCAGGGCAGGGTTTTGGAGTTCATCCCAAACCATTCTGGGATCCTTTGATAGCTTCCCCTCTAATCTTTTTTCAGGGATCTGCCACTAAGGGAGGAGAGACCATGTCACCTCCAGAGGAGCCTCCTCGCACCAAGAGCCAGAGCCAGTATGTGGGGAAGGGGATACCCTGGGTGCTCTGACAGGACACAGGCTGAAGTGTCCCCTCCCAGTTAATTCCTGAATTTTTCATGATTTGGTTTGGTTTTTAAGGCCAGAAGAAGCCATAACCCAAATGCTGAGTGAGATCTTCAGCTGCCTGGAGCCAGAGCTGAGGGCATTTCTGGATGCCTGCAACAAGGTTCACCCACTGGGCTGCCTGCAGGTCCTGGTGGCCTTGAGTGACTCCGTGTTTGGGACCTGGGGCCCTTCCTCAGCTCCCGCCTCGTCCTTCCTGCACGCCCTCCTGGGGAATGTGCTGCTTCTGGCCAAAAGCAGCTTCAACAAATGCATCGTGAGTGTCCATGGTGGGAGGGAGCCCAACAGGCCCAACTGATGTTTGACCTCTTTCCAGAACCTCCCAAACAGAATCCCAGAACCATGGAGGCTGGAGAAGACCTCCACAAGCACCGAGTCCAAGCTGTGCCCAATCCCCAGCTTTTCCCCATCCCAGAGCTCTGAGTGCCACACCCAGGTGTTCCAGGGATGGGGACCCCAAACCTCCCTGGGCAGCCCCTGCCAATGGCACAGCTCCCTGTCAGCCTCAAACACGGAGTACCACATTCCTTGGGGTTACAGAAGGCATTGTAAATGGCAGAAGCCTTCCCAAACCCAGCTGCTTGCCTTGTTTCCTGTCCTGTGCTCCGCCAGATGAGGTCGGATCTGAGGTGCCACCTCCCTGTGTCATTGTCAGGGGACCTTGTGCAAGGAGATGGAGGAGGCCAAGACTGCCAGCAGGACGGGAGGGGGGATCCTGCCCTGCGTCAGCCGCTTCCAGGAGTTCGTGGCGCTCTCCGAGGAGGTGTTCCGGACATCCCAGCGCCGGGGGGAGCTGGACAAGGCCCAGCTCAGACTGGCCAGCAGCGTCTTCAGCAGCAGTGAGTGCCAAGGCTGGGTGCTCTGGTCAGGAAATGTCCCCCTGCAGCTGCAGGAGTGACCAGCTGGGCCACCAGGGCAGGGTGAGCTGCCTGTCCCTGGGCACTGAAATCTCTCTGCCTGAGTGAGATCCTGGGAGCACCAGGCACATTCCAGGTGTGGCAGGGTGGGAACTGCCTGTCCCCTTTCCCTGAGCAAGGTCCTGGGAGCACCAGGCAAATTCTGGATGCTCTGTCACAGGGGGATGGGCCCGGGGGTGACAGGGCTCAGCTGACGCACAAAGTTCCAACATCTCCTGCCTCACTGTGGAGGGGCAGCTCCTCACACATCAGACTCCTCTTACAAGGTTTTGGGAGCCAGAAAAACTCCTCCAAAACCCCCAAAACCAAGGGGTGTTGGTAGGGAGAGAGGGGTTGGGAGAGCGGGGTGGGGAGCTTCCAGTAGATGCCTGTGTTGTCCCAGCTGGAGCCCTTAGCTTCCTGTCAGTGAAAATATCCTGTGTTCCTGCCTGGAGAGGACCTGAGGGGCTGCAGAATTCCCAGCTCTGACCACAGATTACAAGGTGGTGCAGAGGGGCAGCTCCCACCTGCAGGTGAGCCTGGGGTGACCCACTGATAAATCCATGGGCACGGCCCTGCCAGGCTCCAGGAATGTTTGCAGGGAAGCAGGTCAGGCAGGGAATCATGGACAGGGATCAGGATTTGTGTTATAATTACTCCCTCTGAAGTCAGAGGGTTCAAACGAGCCGTCTCAAAGGCTCATCCCTCCTGAGAGCCTGCAGGGGCTTCTCTCCACACCTGAGTCCCTCCTTCCTTTCCAGTCAGCAGCCTCTCCTCAGCAAACCTGAAGGTGAACAAGGACATGGTGATGATGGAAAATTTCCACCATATCCACAACTTCCTGTGCCAAAGGAACATCCCCTGCCTGGAGGGCAAGAAGAGAGAAGCCAAGCAAAGGTCCAGGGAGCACATGGAGAAATACGTCACCACGTACGTGGGCCAGCCCCTGGAGAGGCTGAAGGTGAGCACGGGACCCTGGCCTGGGCCTCCAAGGGCAAGGGCTCTTCCCAAAACTCTGGATTAACTGGTGTTGAAATCTCCCTGCCCTGAATCCAGTCTGGGATTGTGTTACTTTGTTGTCACAGGATATGAGAGCACCTCAATTTCATTCTGCTCAGGGATTCCCAAAATCCTGGAATGGCCTTCTCCAGCTCTTCCAGTCTGAGCACAGACACCAAGAGAAGGTGCAAAAGGGTGTGAATTGTGCAGGAACCCATTCCTGGTTCTTGGAAACAGTCTGTACATTTAGGGACTCTAAATCCTTGGGATTTAGGGTATTTCTCCACAGCTAAATTGCATCAGGAATACCCAAACAGATTCTTGGGCTGCATGAAGAGACAGGAGGATGAAGGAAGGAATTATTCCCTTGTTTTACAGCGGATGTTGAGTGAGTGTCCTGTCCAGTGTTCCCTTTCCTGACCACTGCTGGGTTTGTCTGTGCAGTCCCACCTCAGCAGCATCACAGAATTCCAGGCTGGAAGGCATCCCAAAGGATACCTTGTCCAAACTTCACTGAGGCTGCTTGGATGAGATTCTGTAGCTCCCTGTCCAGTCACATCCTGAAAGCTCCAGTGGTGGGGCTCTATCACGTGCCTGGGCAGGTTTGATTGATCATCCCAACTTGTTGTCACTGGAGAAAGTTCCTTATATCCAGACAATGTGATCAGCCTACCTTTCCCCCAAGGAAGCTTTCTCACTCCTCTTTGACAATCGTGTCACGACAATCAAAAACCATGTGCGGGTTTTTCCATTTTCCTGCTGCCTTGTCCTTGTGCCCATTTCCAAATGGTGAACCAAGACACGGGGGACAGAATTCCAAGGCATTGGTGGGGAGCTTCTTCCCAGTTTGTTCCCAGTTTGTTCCCAGTTTGCTCCTATTCCCACTCTGGTTGCGTGCCGGCATCTGGCAGATCCCAGCTCTTTTTTCACAGCTGCCTGGGCTGATCCATCCAACACTTCCCAAGTGGCTGCTTTGTTAACTGAGCTAAGAGCATCTGGCTCTGCTAACTCAAAGAGACATTCCTTCCTTCCCGAGACTGCAGCTCTTCCGCTCCTTCCCTCTCCCTAAAATGTCTCACAGATGGAGCTCAGCTGGAATTATTTATGGGACCTGTTACTTCCAATTTGTTTCCAGTCGTTGCTGTCAAACATTTGTTGGCTTGGCTGGAAAATCAGCTCCGTGTCTTGCGGTACCTGAGCTCTGCTATGGCTTCAAATTCTCCCTTTTCCAAGGGAAAAGATAATTTTATTGCTCTCAACAAAGTGAGTGGGATATGAGAGCACCTGAAAGTCCTGGCATGGTCGTCTCCAGCTCTCCCAGTTTCTCTTCACCAAGAGGAGGTGCAAAGAGGTGTAAGCAATGCAGAAGTCAATCAGAAGTCAATTTCTGGTTCTTGGAAACAGTTCATACATTTCGGAACTCAAAATTCTTGGGATTTACGGTATTTCTCCACAGCCAAGTTGCATCAGGAATACCCAAACAGATTCTTGGGCTGTATGAAGACACAGGAGGATGAAGGAAGGGATTATTCCCTTGTTTTACAGCAGATGTTGAGTGAGTGTCCTGTCCAGCTCTGGCAGCTATGTCAGGAGAACTGAGAAAATTCTGGTTTTGCTTTACACCTCTGCAGGTTCTGGGATCCCCCTTCCCCACCTCTGGCTCCAAACCCTCTGTGGGGAGAAAACCAAGGGGAGCACCAAGGAACTGGAGGGATTTTCCAGCAGTCCCATTGCTCCATGGGCCTGCAACCCTTAGGGATGCTGCTTGTTAGGCAGGGAGGGGAGAGAACCATGAAATTCCCTAAGTTCTGCTTTCCTGGAGGATAAAAATCTCCAACACTTCATTAAACATTCTTAAATTTTTCTTTTCAATTGAATTAGACATGGGAACTGAGGGCAGTGCTCAGGGGTCAACCCTGGTGCAGGAATACCTCAGGATGGCTCCTCATGGAATGTCTCCTTCCCTTCCCAGCATTTCTTCGACGGGGTCAAAGCCCGCCTGGCTCAGGGGGTGAAGGAAGAGGAGGTCAGCTTCCAGCTGGCCTACAGCAAGCAGGAACTCCGGAAAGTCATTGAAAAATATCCTGGCAAGGAAGTCAAAAGGGCCCTGGAGAGCGTCTACAGGACAATCCACAAACATCTGTCCCCAGAGGAAAATCTTCTGCCGGTAACTGGAGTGGGATGGGTGTGACACTGGGATGGTTGGGATTCACACTGCACTGCCTGTGTGGCTTCAGGGGCAGGGGAAGGAGCTCAGGTTTGATTTTCCAGGTGGTGTGGCAGGCCATGCAGCAGGGTTCTCCTTTTCCAGGTGGCGTGGCAGCCCATGGAGCAGGGTTCTGGTTTTCCAGGCAGTGTGGCAGCCCATGGAGCAGGGTTCTCCTTTTCAAGGTGGCGTAGCAGCCCATGGAGTAGGGTTCTGGTTTTCCAGGTGGTTTAGCAGCCCATGGAGCAGGGTTCTCCTTTTCCAGGTGGCGTAGCAGCCCATGGAGCAGGGTTCTGGTTTTCCAGGTGGTGTGGCAGGCCATGGAGCAGGGATTCATCCGGCAGTACCAAGAGTTTGAGGAGCTCATCCAACGCTGCTATGCCGGAGCAGGGATTGCCCTGGACTTCACCATGGAGGATGTGCTGAGCTATTTCAACTCCATCACCATGTCCAACATGTAGGGAAATCCCTCTCTGGATGTCGGGAGCAGCTCAGGAATCCTTGTCTGCAGTCACACCTCCAAGGAGCTGAACACAAAACCATTCCCAAGTAGGATATTTGGGTTCCTACCCTGAACTGAATCCCAAAGTCCCTCTGACTTGTTGGTCCTAGACTAAATCTCTCTTGAGGAAGTGGAGTTGTTGGACCCAAACCACAACTTCCCTGCTCCAGGAAACCATTTTGCCCCCAGGAAATGACACTCCAAGCCTCAGATTTCCCCCTGAGTGAGCACTGGTGCTGCAAGTCCTCAGCAGAACATTCACAATGGAAAAATGTTTTCTCTCCAGGGACTTTCTCCTTTTCTGTGCTTGAATTTCAGTGAGCCTGTGCTAAACCAGAGGATTAAAGCACATGGAGACGCTCTGAGTGTGAGGTGTTCCCAAATCCAGGTATCCCAACAGGCACCGCTGCTCCACAGCTCTCCACTGAAAGTCATCCAGCAGATGAAAGTCCAGAGCTGTAAATATTAATGGATTTATTGCTTTTAGCTCAGATTTGCTCACATCTTAACTGGAGTGGAAAAATGTGCAGTTCTAGAGATCCAAACCGATCCTGCAGGGAATTGTCTGCTTTTAACCAGTTTTTGTAGGAATCTTCCTACAGCAACTCACCAATATATTGTCATTCTTTAAATGTTATCTCTGTTTCTTGGGATGATCATGGGGCTCACATGTCTTCTGTCACAAACTTCTTCCTAAACAACTGAAGAGTTTGAACTCCTTGATATTTGCTTCACAGGATTTTATTTTATTTATTTTAAAATAAAATAAAAGATTATTTTATTTATTTTGCATGTTAGAAAATTATCTTGGAGGCAAGATTCCCTGTGCATTGCCAGGGAGGTGGAAGGCTGCTGTGGCTGCTTGGACAGCCCCTCTTCTCCAGGGATATCCTGGCTTCTTCAGTGGGAGCTTTAAGCCAGCACATAAACCCAACTTTCCCTTGTAAAGGGAAAAATCCAGACTATTTTTCTGGGATTTTTCAAGCAGTTGGCCTTTGGGTCAAGGTCCACCTCTGCAGGGAGCTCCCGTTTCCAATCTCACCATTCCCTCCCTTTGTCCCGTGACGTGGCTGCTCCCAGCAGGAAGGGGATGATCATAGGAAACCATCCAGCGCTGCCTTCCCAGCTCTTCGTCCCTCTGCAGGTAACAGGAATTTTGCAACCCTGTTTCCTTTCAGTTTTTGGCTCAGGGGCTCACCTGGGAGGGGAGGGCAGCAGGTGCTGCAGGTAACAGGAATTTTGCAACCCTGTTTCCTTTCAGTTTTTGGCTCAGGGGCTCACCTGGGAGGGGAGGGGAGGGCAGCAGGTGGGGCTGTAGGCTGGGATATGAAGGTGCTGCAATTTGGGAGCACCAGAGAGGAAGCCCGGGGTGAAGGGATTTGCAGAGGTGGCTCCGAGGTTGTTGAACGCCAAACACCAGCAAGGAGGGGCAGGGATCCCTCTGGATCTGCTGATGGCTCCCCTATAACCAGTGCAGTCACTGGGCACAGCCCAGGCCATGCCATGGAAGGGGATAATGGGATCTTGCTCCAAACAGGCTCCTCTGGCTGTCTGGCAGACATCCCAGTGAAACTGCACCTGGCTTTACACTGACCCTGCTCCTGTGCCAGTGGGGCTGTGGGATCTCTCCTCACCAACCACTTCCCATGCAGAATCATGGAACCATTTAGGCTGGAAAAGCTCTCTGAGATCATTGAGTCCAATCATCCCCCCTGGCCTGCCAACACCCTAACCCACGTCCCTAAAAGCCAGGGGCAGTGCCAGTGGATCTGAACCCAACCTAAGCCACCAGGAACCTGTGACCCCAATCTGGGGAGTCCCCACATCCTGATGCTGTGTCACCCTGAGCCCCTGGCCTCACCCTCTGCCTTGTGGTGACATCTGGCAGCTTAAAGACAAATTACAAGAAACGTCCCCAGATGTTTCCTGCTGCCATGCCAGGCTCCAATTTGTCTCCACTCTCTGGCTTGGCTCCACTTGGATGAGTGTCCACACCTGGGAGGACCCCAGAGGGGGCTGGAGGAAGGATCACACACATGGCCCCATCCTTGGTGCACACGGGATTTGTATGTTGGGAGCTTGGCATCTTGGTGACATCAGCCCTCAGTGACACCAGCCAGCTGGTGCCCACACCTGGCCCAGCCGGGGGCTCTGACAGGGTCGGGTGCCACCAGATGCAGACCAGGGTCCGAGGCTCTTGCAGAGAGGAGGATTTATTGCTTCTGTACTTCTGCCACCTGCAGGACAGAGGAAAACCTGGGCGATTCCTCTCAGCCCTCAGCTCCCTGGATCATTTTCCATTTCCCTGCATAGCTGGATGCTCCTAACTTCCATATTCTCTGGTTTTCCATGCCAGTTCCCAGTCCTGAGAGCATGGCTTGGAAGGAAGAGGGCACAAGCCCACCCTCGTGTTTCATCCAGCACCTGGACCACCTTGTGCTGACCGTGAAGAGCATTGAGGACACTGTGGCCTTCTATTCCAAAGTCCTGGGCATGGAGGTGGTGACGTTCAAGGTAACCGTGACCTGAGTTAGCAGGACCCCACCAGGCCCCCAGGGTGCCTGGGACTGCCCGGGACAGTGGGTGCTGAAGGTGTCCAGCCCAGGAAGTGTCCCTTACTCTGGCCTTTTTCTTTGGGAACAGGGGAATCGCAAAGCTTTGCGCTTTGGCCAGCAGAAGTTCAACCTGCACCAGGCTGGGCAGGAGTTCGAGCCCAAGGCTCGGCGTCCCGTGCCCGGCTCTGCGGATTTTTGCCTGATCACAGCAGTGCCCCTGGAGCAGCTGCTGGAGCATCTGAAGGTGAGGCAGGCCCAGAGTGTCTCCAGGGCAGTGTCACCCCAGGAGACACAAATCCAGGGCCTCTAAGTGACACTTTCCTGGGGAATGTCGGGGCTGCCTCATGCAACAGTTCGTGTTGTCAAGGCTGGGGGAGGAGGGCACAGTGAGGATATGACCATCAAACCCCTGCTCTCCTGTGTCCTCCAGACCTGTGGGGTGGCCATTGAAGAAGGTCCCGTGGCCAGAACTGGTGCTGTGGGTCCGATAACCTCCATCTACTTCCGAGACCCCGACGAGAACCTGGTTGAGGTTTCCAGGTACTGCACGGATGAGGCTGCAGGCTCTGAGGGGGAGCCCTGACCACAGCCCATGCTCTGCCTGGGTCCCAGCAGGAGATGGGGTGCAGAGGCCAGGTTTGGCTGGCCCATTTAAAGGTCCAAGCTTTAATTGTGTGAACCTGGGACACGCCTCAAACCATAGCCACAAAGTAGGGCTGCAAGGACCTACTTTGGGAGTTTTCCCAAGGCAGCCTGCTCTGCTCTGCTCTGGGTGTGAATCCTGCTTTTATACATCTCCATCATGGAGATTTCATGGCCTTCTGGGAAGATCTGTCCTGCTGCTACTGCATTGTAATTGCTGGGACATCTTCCCTAATTCCTGCTATCCCTTTTGCTACACTGTCCACCTCTCACTCCTCTCCAGAGTCACTTTTCCACAGTTGGAAATTTCTGTCTCACTTCTTCTCATCCTCCTCCCATCATCCTCTCAAGCTGCCTGGTGCTGGTGGCTCTCCCACCATGCCAAAGGTTTAAATCCATCAGTGGCTGTCCAAACACATTCCTCTCCTGGGATTTGGGAATTTAGCCTCAGTGTGACACTCAAAAACTCCTGAAACTGAAGCTCCAAGACTCATCTTCAGCTCTGTATCAATAATTGTGGGGTTTCTGTCACTCGAGAATGGAAAAAGCAGGGATGAGGAGCCTACATGAAGGGCAGTGTCAGAAGTCCAGTTCACCTGGATTTATGGAGGGATTGAGGATGGTCTGGCACAGAGGAGTCTGTCTCTGATGGCATCCGGTTACTTGTGGGACTGTCCTGAGTTTTCTTCTCCTTTAGTTAATTAAAAATCCATTTCAAAGTTATCTAAAAAGTATAAAATAATGAAGGACCTGGGGATTCTCAAGCAGAGCAGTTCCGAGGCTGGCCACACTGAGGTAGCATCGATATCCTCAATGGAACAGCACTGGAAAGGAGGGAGGACTCTTCTGACCTCTACAGTGCAAATCCTCTATAAAATTGAAACAATCTCTGAATTGTACTTATTTTTTCTTTGCTGGAATTTCGTGGGAAATTCAAAATTCTTCATGGTGCTAATAAAGGCAAGGTCACAAAATATTCAGTGATATGATCAGCGGGGATGAGCTGGTTTCCATTGAGTCGTTTGTGGGAACTAAAGACAGGAATGCCATGGGAGAAAGCCTCCTCGAATGGAGATCCGGGAAGGGATCCCAGGGAGGGATCCGAGGGAGGGATCCCCGAGAGCGGAGTCCTCTCGGCCCCCACGCCCGCGGAGCATCTCGCGGCTGCTCTCCAGGGTGCTGATGTGCCCCGGCCGTGTCCGGGTACGGCGGGACCCCTCGGGGGTCCTGCCCACGGGAGAGGGTCGGTACCCATGGGAGGGGGGGGGTCAAAGCCCATGGGGGATATCCCCATGGAACGGGATTGGTTCCCACGGAAGAAGGTCAATCCCTACAGGAGAGGTCAATGCCCACGGGAGAGAGTTAATCTCCACAGGAGAGGGTCAAAGCTTTGGGTAGGGCCTAATCCCCATGGAACAGGGTTGGTTCCCACAGGAGAGGGTCAAAGCCCACAGGAGAGGGTCAAAGCTCATGGGAGAAGGTTTCGTTCCCTCCACTGGAGCCGATCTTGCTTCTGACCCACACATTGATCCCTTTGAATGCTGGCTGGCCTGGAGAACTGGCCTGGCTCCTCGGCTTTCCTGTTCACCACAGGGTGAAACATGGAATTACACTTTTGGGGATCTCACACCTGACCCAAACCACAGGAAACTCAAAACTTGTCATAGAAATCTAGCAAGTGTTTGGAATGTGTGGATGATGGAGGAACTTATCTTGGAGTGGTGGTATTGGAGCACCGGAGGCTTTGCTGGCTGATGGTTGTTGTTGTCTCTGGGAGAAAGAACCTGTGGGGCACCTGCCGAACTTGACAGGGGCTCAATGTTTTCACCTGGAGGAACCACTGGCCACAGGCCAGCACTGCAGCTGTCCCTGTCCCAACCTCTGCTGGGCTCCCCATCTATTAGAAAAGCCTCTGTATTGTCAGTATTCCAATTAAAATAGATGGTTTACATTATGCAGCATTAAATCTTTATGGAGAAAATGAATTTAATTCCATTCTTTATTCAGCAAGATTCATTGTGAATATTGGACAGTGGGAGAGAGTGGATGAACAGAGGTGGGAAAACAGTTTTCTTCTGGATGGTTCATTCCCTGCACAAACCATGACCAGCAAGAGAAAGGATCTTCCTTCTTGTCTGCTCCCATCTCATCCCTCTTGAATACTGATTCCCACAGTAGATTCCACAATTTTGTCACGATCATATTGGAAAGGAGCTCTTTGGATCAGCAATCACAGTGTTTAATGTGGAGAAATGTTGAGTTCTCCATCTCACCACTCAGGGGGGTGCAGGGCAAGGAGCCTTCCAGGGAATGGCTGCTCAGGAGCACAGATGAGTTAAGAGCAAAGTCTCAGTGAGCTCCCCCTCCTCTCACAGGAGGGAAACAGGAGTTTCCCAGTGGGAGTCACAGTTTATGTGCCCAAGTCACCTCCCAGAGAAACCCGTGAGCCAGCTCAGAACAGGTGCCTGGGAAAGCCTAGGAAAGCCAGGAGGGGTGGGGTGGGACAGCCCTGGGATGGGCAGGGGTCACCCTCAGCATGTAAAACTGATGTTGGATTCCTCATTTACCAACTGTCTCCCGTTCAGAAAAGACATCCAGGTCTCAAGGGTCCTTAAACCATTCTTTGCACCCAGAGAAGTGGCAAACACTGCCCATGGGTTGGAGAAACAGGAGGCTTTCACTGGGAAGGAAAAGAATCCCTCTTTGCTGGAGAGTTCTGCAGGCAGGGCTGTTTGCAGCAAGGATGGATTTCTCCTGTGGCCAGTGGGATTGCCCAACCCTGATCCCAAAACAGCCCAGAGGAGCACTAAGAAAAGCACAGACTCTGCAGCTGGTCCTCCTCTTCTTCCCAGACTCAGCAGTCAGGCATTCTGCACAGAATGAGCTCGGAATCCAGCTGTAAAAAATGCACAGGCACTGTTCCTTCTGGAGAACTGGATGATACCCCAGAATTCTCAGAGATTTCCATGGGAGTTTTTTTATACTTGTGGTGGCCTTTCAGCTCCTCAGCCAGCACCAAACAGGAGTTGAAGTTTACTCTGTGTGCTAACCCACACACTCCTCCTGCCTCGTGGGTTCCTTTGGAATTATCTACTGGAAGGGGTGGGAACTTCCCTGCCCTTGGGAATCAGTAGGAAAGCACCAATGAAGAAAGGAATTGCAGCTTTGACAGGACAAGCCCCTCACCCAGCCCCCATGCTGTCCCCTCACAGGCTGCAGGCCAGCTGGGAGCTGTCTGACAGGTTCTCCAGGTTGTCCACCAGAGTGATGATGGCTTCTATTTTTTCTTTTGGAAGCACGTGGGAGGCATTGGATCGAAACTTCTTCAGGAGTGACTCTTTGCTCAGGGGCTTCCTCCAGTGCCCATAGAAAGTGTCACATTTGCCCGTCAGGACGTCCCCGCTGTGCAGGAGCAGGGCCACCTCTCCGTACATCTTGTCAAAGTTGGCCACGTTGTCTTCAGGGTGCTCCACCACCACCTTGTCCAGCAGCTCCCTGAGCTCCTGCCGGTGGATGCTGCTCTCGGAGAAGGAGCCCAGGCCCACCTCGCCGTCCAGCAGGGCAGCACAGGCGTTGAACTGGAAGGAGTGCCTCGCCTGGTGCTCCGAGCTGGGGAAAGGCCGGTTGATGTACTTGGACACCGGGATCTTCAGCATAATGGTGCGGATCAGGGACGGGGAGAAGGACCCCGCATAGTTGATGAAGAGGTTCCGGACGGACAAGGCAGCATCCACCACCCAGTGCATGCCCAGGTGGGCTGGGAACCGCTTGAAGGCAATGTCCTGCTTTTCCAGGAGGAACTCGTGGTGCTCGCCGGGTGCAGACAGCGGTTTGGGCTTGTAGACGCTGTAGAAGGCGCTGAACCCCGAGCAGCCCGGGATGTCATCCAGGATCAAGGGGTTGGCCTCCATCCCTCGTCCTGCCAGCAGAGCGGCCTCCAAGCCCAGGCGGGTGGCGTTGCCCACGTGCAGCGGCTTGGCCTGGGTGGCGGCGTTGGCCATGGGCGCCCCGGCCAGGGACGCGGCGATGCCCAGGGCGTGGCAGCACTGGGCCGAGCTGAGGGACAGCAGCTTGGCCGCGGCCGCGGCACTGCCCAGGGTGCCCACCACCGAGGGAGGGTGGAACCTGCAGGGGGACGGCAGGAATGAGCAGCCCTGGCTGCCTGGCACAGGGAACACCAAAGGACACCTCCCACAGAAAAACTGATGGCAAGTGAGGGGCCCATCAGCCAGTGGAACTCCCTCATGGCTTTGGTGCGGGTGGGATTCACCTGGCTCAGAATTTAACCATAAATTTTAATTAATAATTTAACTTTAAATCAGAGTTTCACTGCATATTAGTTTAACTCTAAATTTAGAGTTAATTAACAAAAATTTAGTCTAAAAACTGAGTTTCTCCTTGAAACCTCAGAAACACCAGGGTGAACTAGCATCTCTAAAAAGCAATTTGAACTTTCTCCAGGAGGTGCCATGGTTTGTGTCCACACAGACAAACTTTTTACCCCTCAAACAAATAATTCAGCCTCAAACACACCCAAGGGAACAGTTCCTGGTAGATTCCACCATTTGGATCACACCAGAGCACTGCTGGAGGCAGCAGCTGGCCCAGGGGCCGCGCCCACCACCAAGCTCTGCTTGGTTCTGGGATCCTGCCCTGGCTGGGTCAGGCAATTGTACTGCAGACTCCCTGGGAGTCCTCCCGAGGGTTATTTTTGAGGCAAAATCTCTGAAAATCACCAAATAAGTGCATGGTGCAATCATATCTGGCATTTGGCTCTCAGTAAGGCTTTACCCTGGGGTAAAGCTAAATTAAACTGGACTTAAACTTGGCTTAACCTAAATGAACACTTTAAAACCCAGACTCACCAACTCTCTTCATCCTCGGCAAAGAACAGGAGCTTTACCTTTTGGGAATGTCGTGAGCCTCAGTGGAGAAGTGCAT